GGTTGGCACTGGAGCAGCCGGGATGTTGGCACTTGCAGGAAGGGGGTGTCTGCTGGGAGGGAAGAGGGGCGGTTTCGGCATCACCTGGGCTGTGGCTCAGGGTACAAGGGGAGTCCCAGTAGCTTGATGGGAGCCAGCCCTGCGCAAGATGGCAAAGAGGGAGGTGCAGGACAACCCCCTCCGTTTCCTACGCTGCTCTCTGCTACAGTCAAGAGCCGGGGTTAGCCCGTGTTATTAGCCAGAAGAGATAGCACAGAGTTGCCTTCTTGAGAAGAGATGAGGAGCTCTTGGTGCCCCCTGCTCTGAGACTGCACAGCTGCTTTTTGTTACAGCCCCTAGGCACAACTGTCAAGCCTGGCCACCTGGCATCAGGTCTGTTAACCCACAAATGGGCTCTTAAACAGTAATGGCCTCGTTTTCTGAAAAGCTGAGCACACGGAAATCCCAATGAAGCCAATACAAGGTGCCCAGTTTCCATCCAGACACCTACTAGGTAATTTCAGAAATCCAGTGCCGACTTTTTTATCCTCATCCTTTGAGAGAAGCTTTCACGTTCCACACTGATGCTTTTGCTCTTTGTCTCCACCCCCAAAGGAAGCTAATATATAGTATCTACAGTGCTCTTGGGACTTTGTCCTCTACTAATTATTTGTATAGCGATAGGTCTTGAAGATGCGAGCTGGGAAACACAGGGCAGCAAAAGCAAAGGTTTGATTCTGTCCTTGCTCTGTTAGCTGGGTAGTTGATGGCCTTGATCCTTACAAAAATGTGGCTGTTAATCATAGGGCCCGACCCTTCTCCCAGGGGGACAATTGTGTCATCTTCCTTTGGCATCACAGAGCAAAATATTGAGCCTGCAGCCATGATTAGTCTCTTGCTGATTTTGTGTTACAGCTCTGGCTTTGCTACAGGAAAAAATACTTTTGTGTGGAGGTAGCTAATTTGCTGTAAAGCTGTAATAGAGGAAAGACAGAAAAGCTTTACATAATTTAAATCAACTCCTGTGTTGTGCTGAAACTGGACTACTTCCACTGGTATGTTCCAGTGAGATGGCAAGGCTTCTAGGGAGAGGTGATATGTGTTATTAGACCAGATGGTTATGGTGGGGAGAAAAAAAACAGACAAGCTTCCAGGTATATAAGTCCTCTCTGGGCCTGAAATAGGAGTTTCAGTCTTTAAACCTAAATACAAGTTAAAAATGATTACTTTGAGTGTAACTATATTAATAGCTTAAACTGTCTGAGAAAAAAGGTGGTTGGTACCTGTGGAGAAGAAGGGATGTTAGCAAAGGAAGTGGTGGTGAAATTCTTTGCTTCTCTGAAATGGAAGAATCAGAACGGAATTATCCTCCATGGAACTGCTGGATTAGCTCCAAGGCAAAGCGTAATGAGGTAGTACTCTTGATGGGAAAACTCACTTTTCATGTTTTGTGTTCACTGCAAAAAGTGATGTGCCTGACGCTGAGCCCCGATTCTCCAGCGTTCAGCTTTGGCCTTTTTAACTTGTTTAACTTTGACCTACTGATTTGTGCAAGGTTAAAACCCCCTTGAGTTTGCAAGTTTGGGCCTTTTGTTAACCGCAGGAGTCTTTTTAAAGCAGGGAAAGTTTTTTGCTAATATTAGTTCAGTTCCACTGACATCACTAAAACTAAGGGGCCTCATGTGAATTGCCTGCTGGCTACTGTGACTAGTTGGAGCATGGTGTCAGATCTTCTCTGAGCGTCTTTCATGGTGTAGCCCTTAATGTGATAGTGGTAGCTGGTACCAGCCTGCCTGAGAGCTCGTGGTGCTTGTCCCATCACTGGGGACTTTTCAGAAAATTACTTCTGCCCTAAGGAGAGGTGAAATAGGAAGAGGGAAAGGAAGGGAGATGTGCAGACTATGAGAAGAGGGATTTTTTTGGCTTAACTGTATACATCTCAGTTCCCTTTTCTGATTTATTTTTGTGTGTTGGTATTTTACGTGCATGAATCAAAAGTATCAATCGGAGTGTGCGCAGAGAAAACCCCAGGTGAGGAATGGAGCAGCATCCCATTCTGCTCTCTTTGAGGAAGAGGGTGGGCAAGAACGAAGATTTCAAAAGGCATCCTAGTAAATAAAGTGGAGACAAAATACAACTCAAGAGTGAAACTTAGCATGATTCTGTTTCTTTCCTTAGAATCTACTACCTCAGAAGGTTGGGGGAGTGAGGATTTTAAAAGGCAAAAGCAGTTACGGATGAGTCGTATTCGTATGTGCTTGTTTAACATCATCGTATGTCCAGTGCAACCTTTGGGTCTGCGCTGGGACTTCTTGAGCCTGAGTGGCCTAGCATGTATCCTAGCTCAGTGGACAGATCCAGCTGCAGCCCTTGCTTATTGGATTTTAAGCAGAATTTGAAAAATATTTTGTTCTCCTTTTACTGAAGTACAGACCTGGAAGGGGCCTCGAGTGGCCACCTATTCTATCTCCTGCTTCGAAAGCAGGATTACATATGCTCACGTTCCATCCCAGGCAAATGTTTATCTGATCCGTTTTTCTGAATCACCAGTAACAAGGCGTCTGCGGTCTCTCTATCCCAGTGGCTAGCTGTCCTTGCAGCTGGGAATTTTTTCCTGTCCTTTTAAAAAGTACGGTACCCAAAATAAGATCCCATACTTCAGCTGAATTAAAACAAAACAATTGCTACTTGTGACTTATATATGCCATTCCTTTTAGTGTATCACCAAATTATATTTGCCTCTTGTGCAACAGCCTTGAGGTGTTGATTCATCCTCAAATTTATGAACTGTAGCTCTCCTGGAATTCTACTCTACTCACGTTGTACCACCTCTCTTGACTCAGTCATACGTGCAGATTGTCAAAGTTTTCTCCTAGCCTGGCAAATACAGAGATTTCTTTGGAGAAAATGTCTAGGAGACAGATTACCGCCATTCAGCTGGAAACACGCATACATGAAGATCTTGCAAACAAGCTTTACTAACGTGAGGGACAAGAGAGAACTGAATGTGTAAATGAATAGTGTTGATTCAGTAGGTACACACCAGGATCTTTTTTGTTAAGGTGACTGTGTCGATTGTATATAAGCACCAGGATCTGTTTTCCCTACTAAAACAGGGAAAGATACAGATCAGGAAAACTGAGTAAAACTAATCACCACGGAGTTCTGATGACATCTCATACTAAATGAATTTCCTTTGTGTTGCTTTCGGTGGAGCGCTCCAGCAGTTCTGGCAGCAGAGTTCACCGTTATTTTAGAAAGCCATTAGTCATTCATAGAGTGAATTGACAGCTCCATTAACAAAAGATAAAGGAAAGGAGAAAAGATGGGTTTGTGACTGAGAAACTGGCCGGGGACTCGGGAGATCGATATTGAACTCTGCCACAAACTTCCTGTGTGGCCATTGCAAGCCACAAAGGACTTAGTGTAACCAGCCACTAAAGCCAGTGCTTAACTTTAAACACGTAACTCATTCACTGTCTTCAGTAGATGTACTTTCTCTGTGGTTTGTTTAGATCAGTTCTAGCAGTTAGATTTGTACGACATGTAAGATGAAGCTATGATCACAGCTGAGGTATTCACGTACTGCTATGACATAAAGCAAAAGTGAAAATGCATAAGACATCATCTGTGCAAGATCAGCTTCAGGGATAAAGATAAATATATTCTTGCTCATTGAGCTTTTCCTCTGTTGTTTCGTGGTTAGTAGTTGTGTCATTTTGTTTGGCTTCCCCTTTCCTGCAAATGGGCTTTTACAAGCATCTGAGGACTATTTTCTTAGGTATGCAGTAAAAGATAACCATCCAAATAAAACGCAGGTTTCATTTCCCTCTTTTTTACTGATTCTGTAGAACGAGGGTATCTTAGAAAAACCTGCATAAATTAGTCTGTAACTTTTTCTTAATGGAAGGTAAACAGCAAAAAGTGTGACTCGATTGTTTTTTTTTTCTTTTCCTCTTTTAGAAACTTTTTTATTCCTTCTTGATAACTTTAGTGGAGAAGAAAGGTGCTTACACCATGGCTGCTGAGTTGGATTTCTCTCCACCTGAAATCCCTGAGCCCACGTTCATGGAGAATGTGCTACGCTATGGACTCTTCTTTGGAGCCATTTTCCAGCTTATCTGTGTGTTAGCCATAATCTTGCCAGTTTCAAAGTCCCATAAGACGGTAAGCAGTGCTCTTTAATACTGATATTGATGGGCAGAATCACAGAAAAAAGGATGGGAGAGAATTTGAAGTAGCTAATGGAGACAGAGTGATCCGGGATTGGTGATGGTTCCATAGTTCATACCCTTTCCTTCCTTTTAGCTTTCCCACCTCCAGCCTAACCTCAGATTAGAAAGGCAGGAGCAAATACTTGAGCCAGCATCTCTGAGTATCAGTCAAAAAGAGTGACCTGACGCACTGGCCAGGTGCACTGAATGTACGTGCTGCTGCACACAGGAAAGCTCAGACGTTAGTCCTAAGCCCACATTGTCATCCTACAGTTGATCTGCTCCATTAATTGCTAGGCAGGGTGTCCGCTTTGTAGGAACTGCCTTTCAGGAAATGACTTTGGGCTCCGGTTTTGTGTGTGATTCTTGGGAACAAGTTACAGGTGAAATTCCTAGTGTGTTGTGATGTCAGGACTGCAGTTTTCAGTAATGACACCAATCCTGTGCAGGCATGTGGAGGGCCCTTAGCTGCAGTTAGCACGAGAGAAAGTTAAAGCGAAAGGCTGAGGTGAGCTGCAGGGCTTTGATTCCATTTACTTTAAATGGAAAATTGGGCCGCAGTGGGGCAACCTGCATATACCTGGCTTCTGTGGTAAAAGACAGCTCCAAGTGCTTGGTTAATTTTGGGGACAGGTACCTCCGTGTTGGTGATCAGGCAGCAAGTTTGGTGGTTTCATACAGATTTTATCTGAATACATATGGTATAAATTAGTATTTTCGGTAACATCTCCACATGGCAGGTTTTGTTTAAAGGCTATCTTTGTTGCAGTTCTTGCTCCATCTTGTTCAGAAGAAACCTAGAAATCTTCTGCAGTATATGGAATGAATATTATCCATCTGTAAAGAAGCTGGTAAGAGAGAAGATGTGTCTAGCCTAGCTGGGGAAAGGAGTGCTTGAGGATGAGGTATAGAATGAAGGAAAAGGACTCTTGCAGATGTGCTCAGCTCATTGTAGTTTGGAGAGGTTAAACAGAGGAGAGGTTGAAGGTTGAGTTGGAGAGGTTGAACAGAGAGAGCAGAGCAAGACAGTCCTTTGTACATCAACCACCACAGTTCATAACCCAATTTTCAGTGTTGTCTCTCAATGAAGATGCATTGATGTACTGGAGTATTGATACTGGCCAGTACAGGCACATGCTCCCTCCTGCTAGTCGTCCTGCTGCAGGAGCTGCTGCTCCCGGCAGAGAGATGAAGCAGGCAGCTGGAGCTGATGATGTTCCAGCATTGAAAGTCTTGCACTGTTGTTCTGCAGCCACCAGAGCCGATCTGTCAGTCTATGGTTTCCCCTGATAAATTTACAGGAAATACTGGGTAGCCTAATTCTTGAAAGCTGAAACGAATGACCGCTTAAGTTTGAAATAAGAAGCTGAAGGCCAGGCCCCCAATAAAATGGCAAAGCTTATGTAACTGTTGTTGTTTAAAGCCGTTCTTTGACATCCTCATGCTGTACTTTTTATTTTCTTCCTGCGTATACTGTCCTCTTGATTTGCTGTCCGTATGATTGATTTACAAGACCATAAACAATGGAAGATATTTTTCCAGATCTCAGGAGCGAAGCTTGAGTCTGGATAGGATACTGAGGTGCTTCTCTGATTTGGGAAGCTTCAAGACTACCTTGGTTTGAACATTAGAAGGCAGCAGTGTTCACCTTATGGTAGCGGCACACACTGCACCCCTGAGTAATAGCTCTATGTTGCTCCGTTTCTCTAGAGCCTGCCATCTCCCCATGCATCGATTACTGCCTTTAGAAAGCCAGCCAAGTCTCCTTCCTCGGAAAGCCACGCAGATGTGAATTGTAAGAGCCCAGTAACTTGAGAGATGTTTGAACCAAGCTCCTTGATTAAAAGGATACTGTCAGATGCTCGCCTCCCCCTCCATTATCTGCAGCACTCTCTTGGAAGCTTGAAACTAGCACGTCTTGCTCTGCCATTTTTTGTGTGTCCTTTTCCAGTTGGCACACGGACTGATAGAGACCAAGATGCTAAAGCAATATTTATACTCAAATGCATTTAATGAAAGGAGGCAATCTGCATGTGTGTGCTTTCTCAGATGAGACTGGCTCTGTTCCCTTGTATTTTTACAAGATAACTAGGGTTTATTTCCTGTGGTTGAAATATTATCTGTCATCTTGCCTGAAGGAAACAAGCAGGATAGCTAAGCAATTCTTGCTAGTCCAGGTGGAGAAAGCGTCGCCTTTAACTCCTTTCCTGGATTTTGGGCTTGGTTTAGAAGCTCAGGACTTTACGTTCTTAGTACCATTTTGGGAAACGTTTTTTTGTCTTGCAATCGATAAAGGTTATCATTTTACTGAAATTCCTACTGAATATTTCTGTGCACGCTGATTATACAGTATCTTTCCCTTTTCCCAGTCTGAACAGTTTTCGTTTAGTATTGATTTTCTTCCTGCCTTTAAAGTTGTCTGTTTGTTTGTTTGTTTGTCCAAAGCCTGTTTTAGAGACTTAAGCTTATAATGGCTTCTCTGTTAACAAGCTGTTTCTAAGCATGAACTCGCGCTCATCAAGAAGTACATGTGGAAGAAGCAGAGAGAGTGCTGCCCGAATCTCATTAAACATGGACTCTGTTTGACATAGATGTGTTCCAGTAGAGATACCCAGCACTTGCATGTAGACCCGTTGCTTACTTCCTTTGGTTTATACTCAAATTCTCAAGGAGTTTGAGAGGTAAGCTGTGAGCAAATTGCTAAAATGTTACTGACTGACTATTTCTTAATTGATTCTTCTAGGACTCGGACAGTTTTGAGTCTAAGAGTTCAGAGGCAGTGAAGAAGCCAAAGGCAACTGCGCCACAGATGAGCAAGAAACCCAAGAAGGAAACCAAAAAGAAACGATAAAGGCCTTACAATTGCCATTCTTTACCTGTCAGGGGGCAAAGGAGAGGAACTTAGGAGTGGACGGGGAGGGCTTCTGCATAGATATCTTACCAGCAAAGAGGATTTCATGTATCCAGGACTTCACTCGACATGATTAATGTTTCAGTCATCAAGAAAGTGACTTATCTCATGTCTAATGGGTAGAAAGGCTTGTGATCTTATCTCTTCCACACTGGCCAGGATTGTATTCAAGTCCCTTGTGGAAGGTGGAGTGTGGGTTTGCAACTGCAGATAGCGCTTTTAGTTGTATTTTTGAAGGCACAGGGATCAAATGGATCAAGGATACCACACTACACAGCTTTATATTAACCTGTATTGTCATCTTGTCTGAAATACATAGCTCCATTTTATGGCTTAATAATAACGGCTTTGTTATATTCTTTAATTCTTTATGGGTAATAATTCATCAGATTCCAGATTGGTCTAGATGAAAGCTTTCATTTCCCCAGCATTGCTACCTCTTTCTTCTTATTCCCCACCGCATCTCTTCTCCTTTCTGTTTCCAATTTTGAAAGTATATATAAAGAATTTCAGGGAACTGGGACCATGGTGGGGCCTAGAATGAATATAGGAATCGGGGAACAATTTGATTCCAGAAGGTGCAGAATTTAATGCCCATGATAATGAGGTGCTCTTGGAAACTTGGGACGATCAGGTGCTGCACACTGGAGAAGAGCTGCTCTCAGATGGGAGTGTCAAAGCGTTGCATTTGCCTTGTATTAAACTTCCTAGCTGTGCTGCTGATTAATCCTCCCATGAGTTAGCTGAGTCCTAACCATGGGCTCCAATTCAACGCAGCTTGGGTTTGATGCTTTTACAAACTCCCTCTCAGTGATAGCTGGTATAGTACTGCGTTTCTTCTCATTGAATGCCTCATGAAGTTAAATATGATCTCAGCCTGAGGAAATGTGGTATTTTAAAAGCCAAGGCATGGTAAGCTGGCTGTGTAGCACGACTATATGGCAAGGAGACATGCACACTGTGTTTCTTCAGTGCCAGGGACAATGTAGTATTATGTTTGAGTATGGCTAGACAGGACTGGAAACAGGTGGTGACGTAGCCACACAGTCTCTGTAGGGCAGCTCAAGCTTCCTGATGCCAGCTCACATCTTGGTTTGTTTGATCACGAATGAGTCAATGGGAGGAGAACTTGCTGTTTTAGGCGCACCCAGGGTTCAGAGGAGCTTTGAAGGGTTCTCTCTCTCTCAGGGCGGCAAGTCTCAGTTTTTGTATACATTGACTCCCATCCTCGGTTCACAAATGCCTTGTGAACCCAGATACAGTAGCAATGTTGCAGGAGCAAGGGGTGTCCGGAGTTGTGCTGCATGTGTTCTCCAACAAGCCAAACAGCGTATTTACAGGAACCATCAGTGCTGAGAAGGGCCACATTTTCTGTTCTTTCTGGCTTTTGGTGGGTGAGCCAGACTGATCCCTATTCCGGTTTGATCGCAACCCTAATCCAGTTTGATCGTAACCTCTTATTACTTCTCTGCTCCAAGTTCTCTACTTCTCTAATCCAAATGCTGACACCAAGTTTGCACTGCTTAAAATCCAGTTTAGAGAGTGCTGCTTTAAATGCAACCTTTTTTTTTTTTTTTTTTTCCGGTAGATAATGGCAATTCTAGCAGTACAGAACAAAACATGAAGGACCAGAGCGCTGTAAGGTTACTATGTGTTCTCAGTGCAAAGAAACATTATAAACATTTCCCACACAAATAACAAAGAACGATACTGTTCTGAGTTTGCCATTAGGACCCGTGTTCCCGTCTGCAATCTGCAGGGGAAAGAAAACCCTTACCACTCTCCTGGATAGGTACTGTAGATCATTTGTTCCATTATATTAAATGTGGATAGTTGATCGTGTGGTTGTTTTGTCTAACAGCTCTGGCTTTCTGCAGGTGACCTCAGGATGGGTTTTAATGCTTGATTCTAACCGATTTGCAAATATTGAAAGAGTAGCATACATATTACCTAAAATATAGAAATGCTTCCATGGCCAACAGTTAGTTAGCGTGGAGCACTGCGTGGTTGTTACCCTGAAATGGCAGGCTACTACATCAACATTGCCTTACAGCTATTTAGAGGCTTAGTTACTCATTGTTGAGTAGAAATTGTGGCTATTGGGGTTTGTTTTTGTTGGGGGGTGGGGGTTGAGATAAATTTCTAGTCTGCTCCTAACAGCTTGATATCTACTTCAGTGTTCTCATTAGTTGAACTTACAGTATCTTTTTAGAGATTACCGGTATCCCATGTGTTTTAATGTCTCTTGAAATGTGTAATAAATACAACCGGAACCTCTTTGTTTAAAAAAACCAAAAACTATCTTTAAAATTGTGCTGCCTCTTTCTATGCATTCATTGTGAAACCTGCCAGAACTGGAGAACGTAGGAAGGGGCATAAATAACTTTCTTCATAAGAATGATCCATTAGGAGGAAGCCTTTCAGATCCCTTAATCTGTGAGAAATTGGTTAGTTACCACTGTCAGGTAACACATTTGTGTTTGACTCGGAAGTAACAAACTATCTCCCAATACACCTTCACCTTCCTGGAAGGAGGAAATGGTGCCATGACTAAATTAGTTGATCTCCCATGAGAGATTTTGGCTCGAAGAGCCCCTGTGAAGGTAGTGATAAAGGCAATGTTTGCTAATAATATTAGTAGGGGGTTAGATGGCAGTTCAGTAGACTGATAGCAGGGATTTTCTGTGGCCCCTTGGTGTGTGAGAGTAGCTCAGGTTTGCATGGCTGGAGCGTGGAGCTGTCTGGTGGCTGTTCTTCAGCTAGGAAAAGGCTAAGCGGGCTAGCCGAGCTCTGACAAGCGTTGCTGCTGGTTCCCTCAGCAGAAAACCAAGAGGAGAGAAGGACTTGTGTGGTAACTCCTTTAATTCCCAAGCACTTTTCTCGAGGCTGTTTTGTAATTAACATCCCAAAGGGAGCTGAAGACCTCATTAGGTCACTTGTATTGAAGGGAAGGTGTTCAGATGTCTGCCTCCAGATACCAGCCAAGAGGCAGTGCCTTGGTGAAGAGCAGGTTGATCTGGGATCCCAAACCCAGAAGCTGGGCTGGGAGCTAGGTTTCCTCTGTTAATGTATGTTAGGGAGTTCCTTTCTCTCAACAGGCCAAAGCTCTGCTCTGAAGAGGCATGGCTGAGTTGAGATTTCTTGGGGTTGCTTTTGGTTGTATTTAAGCAGGTCTCCCTCTCTGGCCGCGCTCATCTCCAGCTGTAGCTGTCGCCATCCCCTTGAGCCGTGTCTCAGGCTCACAAAGCATCTTTGTGCTCCTCCAGTGCAAGTAGCACAAGCCCTTGAGACAGGCTAATAAGTAGCTCGTGACTGGAGTTCCAGTTCACATAGTTCAATTAAATCCCTGTTAATCTTGTTCAGACCTAATTTACTTTCATTCTCATACACACACTTCTCTGCTTCTGAGAGAGTCTAGTGAGGTTCCCTACTGACAGGAACTGAACAGCCTGAGGCCATCTTTGAGAAGGACTGATGTCTGCAGATTGGCCCCCAAGTCAAGTCCATAGGCTAAGATTATTTCCCAGCCTGTCATGAAGAGTGTGAAAATATTCCTGCGGTGCCTGGATTTCAGGGAGGATCGAGGCTGGAGGTGATATGATACTCAAGGAGAAAATAAGGAAATTGTAGGAGAAGATCTGGTTAGTATCCCTCTTTCCCAAGGCACTGCTGAACTGTTCCCCCAAACAAAATGGACTGCCTGGACTGAGATGCCCCAAGGGTGCTGGGCTTCTCTCTAGGGAGTCTTTCTGACACTTCTTTCAGGCAAAAGTAACATTTGCAGCCTGTAGTCCAGGGTTTGTTTGTGGCCTGCAGAGATCAAGATGTCGGTATTGATTTAACCATTTGTTTATTAATCTCATGAGGCATCAGAGACTGACTACAGCAAAGAGATGGGACAGTAACTGGAGGGTGCTGGAACAAAGGGCACAGCTGCTTGTCTGGTAATTAAGGTGATTGCAGATTTGTCACTGGGAAAGGATCTGGTCCTCCTCTCCCATATGAAAACAGAAGGGATCATTTGTTTTTGTTTTTGTTTTTTTCCTCTTCTCTCTTTCAAGAGTCATAGGTGCTAATCAGTGTTTACTTGAGCGTTTCATCTTAAATGGCCAGTTATTGCAGACCCAAGGTCCTGCTCCTCTCCTGTGACACTGGAAGTTTGCAGCTTTTGAACAGTTGTTCCAAGTTTGTGGGGATGTTTTGTGGGTTTTGGTGTGTGGGCTGGTGTGCAGCAGCTAGTCAAAATGTCTCTTGCTCAGAGCTGGCAATTGCAGGGCAATGAACTCCGCTTCCTGCCCTTTCCTTGAAGTTTAGCGATTTTCCCATGTTCCATGTTGTTCTTAGCCTTTCTGTCACCTTAATTCACTCCCGTGCCTGCTCTTGCTGTTTCCATTCTGCCCGTTGCAATTCTACTCTCCTTACAGCCAAATTTTAACTGCCAGACAGATTGTGAGTATCACCTGGTTTTTGCAAGGACTGATCTAGAGAAAGAGCACGTGGAGAAAGCAGCCCAGGATGAAGAAAGGCGTTGCCTTATAACCAGCCCCTTTAGCATGTTTTTCTTACCTGATCATTTTTCAGCCAGAGACTTAACTGCTAGAGAAAGTCAGCTCTCTGCCTTGGGAACCCCCGGTCTACCAGAAAGCTGCACCATGCACATCTGCCCGCCCTTGAGCCACAAGGAGTTAAAACCGTTAAATATTAAGCTTCCAAGCTCTTGTGATAAGGAATGCTACGGTACTGTGCATGCTTCATATGACCTGCTCAGATCCTCTTCTTAGCCGGGCACACACAGATTTGTGTTGTGCAATCCCAAACCTCTCAGGCTGTTCACTTCCCTTCTCTGAGCTTTCCTTTTTTTCATTTAGTCCCCAAAGCCTCTGTGTGGCTTTGATACTCTGCATCCTGCTCGCTGGAGGCGGGAACAGCTGCATACCAGACAGCCACAGCCCTTTCAAGGACCACCGTGGGTGGTGGGAGCGGAGAGGCTGACAGGTTCCTCCACGGCTCAAGTCCAGCCTTTTGTCCTGCTCTCATAGCAAATGCTGGCGTCTGAGAAGCGACCAGCCAGCCCTGAGGGAAGGATCCTATTTCCAAATCTACTGTTTCTCTGCTTTGCAATCCCTGATAGCTTGTGCCCCGTGTGCTCTGCCTTCTTTTCTGACTGGTGGATACAAGGCATACCTGCTTTAGATCTCATCTACTTTGCTTCCCTCTTAAAACATCTGTTGCCTGGCTGATGTCCCTTGAAGTGCCTGAAGATCTGGGCTCCTGAAAGGCGGATCTGTACCACGCTTTATCAGGGTCCTGTTTACATGCTAAATGGAACATTTCTTATTTGTAAAACTATACTCTGGACCCTGACTGCGTTTCTTCTTCAAAGGCTGTCCAAATCTCTGAGGTGCTGCCCCTGTAAGTGTTAAGTACAACCAGCTCCAGTTCATAGACTGGGGCCTAGGGAGGCATCAGGACTAGTCTGAGATTTCTTAGATTTTGTCCAAGCTGCAGCTTCAGCTCAGGTGTCCTTGGCCCCAAAGCCAATTCCTATTACCTTCCCTGTGGCTGCTGCTTCTGTAAAACCCATTCTGAGCTTATAAATTCATAACCCCAACAGCCAAAGTCCAGAGTACGGCACGCACTGTGGGATGGGTGAGCTGTTTCAGGGCAGCAGCACTCCCGGAGCGCAGGGAAGCGAGCGCAGCTGAGTCAGGCCCCAGCCCCAGACACGTCCTGCCTTACTTGTGCCTCGGCCGTAGCCACGTGGGCAGGGAGCCGTGCTGCAGCCGTGGGGCTTGTTAGGTCACATCTCTCCTACTTTCAGAGAGTTTGCCCTATAAATTAGATCCCGCTGGGTGGGTCTGTGCCGTAAAACGACCGGACTGTGGCTGTTGGGGTCTGCGCACGCCAAGTTCCTCGAGGCTGAGCTCTCTGCGGAGCCGATACTTTTGATGCTACCGCAGCTGCTTTAGGTGGCTGAGGCAGATGTCCGCATGTCCCGGAGGATCAGGCC